GGCGTGCGACTTCAGGCCTGTGCTGTTGGGGAGACATGGGGTGCGACTTCAAGCCTGTGCTGTTGGGGTGACACAGGGTATGACTTCAGGCCTGTGCTGTTGGGGTGACACAGGGTGTGACTTCAGTTCTGTGCTGTTGGGGGTGACATGGTGATGCAGTGACTTCAGGGCTTTGCTTTTGGTAGTGAAATGCTGATGGAGTGTGATATCAGGCTTGTGCTGTTGGGGTGACATGCTGGTTCAGTGGCGTCAGGCCTGTGCTGCCTGGAGAGCAGAAGGCATCAGTGGCATGTTGGGGGCATCTCTGGACCTGGCTGCCTGACTGCTCATGGTGCTCCCTTGGGGCCTCCTTGCTACTCGCCTAGGCCGAGCATGGCTGGACTCACCCCCACACCCCCAGCGCCGCCGGAGGCCACAGAGTGACCCTGAGATGGCCCATGATTCCCAGTTCTGTGAATGATGAGAACATGTTTTCCTGCCTCCCTCCCTACCCCAGAGCTGAACTTTACGTCTCAGGGAGGCCCAGAAAGGAGAAGGAACAGTCTTGGGTCTGACACCCGCTGTCTCATCCCCCACCCCCGTGGGGATTCCATTTGCCAGAGACAGGGCCCCAGCATTCGGGGGTTCGGTGGTGTGGAGTTAGGTGCTAAGACGGGCGTTCAGTGTGTTGGCCCGACGTCCTGTGTGATCATCAGCGCTGTCCCCATTCCCCAGAGGAGGAAATGAAGGCTCAGCAGGATTAGGTGGCATGCAGATGGGTCCACAGTTGGGGTCTCTCCCATAACCCCTCCAGCCACAAACAGCAGGACAAAGGAAGCCCCACCCCATGCTTCCTGTGGGAGGACCCTCCCCCTCCCCCTCCCCCTCCCCTTCCCTTCCCCCTCCCCTTCCCCTTCCCCTTCCCTTCCCCCTCCCCCTCCCTTTCCCCCTGCCCCTGCACGGCCTCCTGCCCCACCCCATGCTTCCTGTGAGAGGGCCCTCCCCCTCCCCCTCCCTCCCTGATACAGTCGGGCAGGGATCTGGATACTGGGGAGCCAGGGACTTCACGAGCTACCATTGGGTAATGACAGAGTGAGTGTAGAACACGGATGGGGAGAATCTTTTCCCTTATCAAAAGGAATGCTGCCTCGGTGGTGAATTTGAGGCACCAGGACAGCTTCCAACAGGGTGGAGGGATCTCCCTACAGCCTCTGAGCACCACTGAACTACATATGTGTGGGCTGAGCCAGTCCCAGTGCCCAGCCTGGGGTACAAGTGGGGAAACTGACCAGCGAGGGCTAAGGACTTGGCCTCTCGTCCCTGTCTTTTCTGCCTTTCAGTGGTGGGGATGGACTTTAGGGTGCAGACAAGCGGTGGGTAGGTGGTAAGGGTGAGGCCTGGCAGCTCCCCGTGTCCCCACAGCTCCCCTCCCTCTGTCCAAGCCCCCCTCACCACGTGAGGATGGGAGTGCTCAGAGGGGTCTGGCATCAGGGTCTGTATGAAACTCCAGATGCACCCCTTCCTCATCTGTGAAATGAGGGCCTCAGGCCAGCCCAGGGCACCAGCCTTCAATTATTTACCCATCAGGAAGATGCTGTCTCCTGTACAAGTTGAGTTGATTCATTCCTGGCCAAATGCCATTCCAAGTCAGGCTAGGGAGGTGGAAAGAGTTCAGCACCTGCCTCCTCTGCTCCCTACTTGGGAGAGGACTTAGATCCCCCAGCCTCAGGTAACTCATCTGAAAAAAGGGCATGAAAGAGCCCCTGCCCCCGGAAGATTCAGTGAGACAGTGCGTGGAGAATGTTGCGTGTGCAGGCATGGATCGGGCCAGCGACTCCGCGTTCATCACCAGCTCTCACGCCGCTCTGGGCAGGCACAAGCCGAGGGGTTTATGGTGCTTGACTCCTCCAGCCTCAATAACCCAGCAAGGAGGAAGGTGCCTGTACCGCCTTCATAGAGCCGTGAGACACCCAAGACACAGAGAGACGAAGTAATCAGCACACAGTCACCCAGCTCGCTGAGGCAGAGTTAAGGCCAGGCAGGCCGATCCAGAGTGCACGTGGGGGCGGACACGTGTCGTGTTTGTGCGTCCATGCATGTCTGTGCACGTGTGCGATTCTTCCCTCTGAGACTTTAGCGGCCCATGCCAGCTGGTGACTCCTTCAGCCCAGGCATCCCCAGGCAACCCCCTGGCATCTGGGTGGGGGAGTCGACCGTTTCTGTGTCTGTCCCACTAGTTCCAGAACAGCCTGGGAAGTCCCAGCCCTTTCTTCTCAGACGTTCATTCAGGGTCCAGGGTCCCCAGGGCAGACCCTCGTCCCCTCGCTGCTGACTCCCGCTGTGTGTGAATGTGGAGGGGAAGCAGGGGTGGTGCCTGTGAGCCATCCACACTGGGCCATCATGCTCTCGAGTTATGATCACGGGTGATAGTGATGAGTCCCACGTAGATCATGGGACATTCTTAGAATGAGCGTTTTTTGGAAATCTGCTTGTGTGGGTGGCAGAGACTTGAGAGGTCTAGGGAAGAGCAGATTTTCAGACAAGGACTTACAGGAAGCGGGAGGCACAGCCCTTTGGCCCAGGATGGCCACTGATGAAGAGGGTGGGTCAGGGGAGAGGGTGCCACCGTAGTGATAAGGAAAGGCTGGCCTGGACCCTCCACGGGCTGAGTGCCCTGGGGCTCCCCACCTGACTCCTCTGAGCCCGTGGTGCCTCCTCCACCCCCGTGACTTGCCTGCTTTCTTTTTTTTTTTAATTTTAATTTTAATTTTTTTTAAAGATGGGGTTTCACCATATTGGTCAGGCTGGTCTCGAACTCCTGACCTCAGGTGATCCGCCCACCTCAGCCTCCCAAAGTGCTAGGATTACAGGCGTGAGCCACTGTGCCTGGCCAGAACTGCCTGCTTTCTACCTAGCTTCTCCCAGTGCCCACGTGAGCACAGCTGAGGCCTCATGCCCTTGAGTGGCCTGAGGGTGGTGGAGGGACTGGCCCGGGAGTTCTGGCCACAGCTGCTCAGTTTCGCAGAAGCCGCTCTCATTGGGCGCCTCCGCAGCACAGGCTTCCCCCTTTCTGGGAACCTGCCTCCTGCCAGCTTCCTCTCCTGTGTCACCGCTTCTCTTATGATCCCCCACCATGTCCACTCACTCCCAGCCAGTGGGGACAGGCAGAACCGTGGGTTCCCTAGGCCAGCTGGAGCCAACCCCCCAACCTGGCCTGGCCTGGCCTGGCTAGGGGGTGGCCCTGGTGTTCTCTGGAGCCCTGGTGGCCAGCACTGTTGGCAGCCACAGACACTCAGTGGGAACTTCAGAGCACCTGACCTTGGCTGGGCTGGCCATGCAGAAGGAGGTGGCGGCTGCTGCCCTCCATGAGCTCACAGCCTGACGTCAGCAAGGGATTCGAAGAAGTCATTTCCTATGCATGCCTTAACCTATGCCGCAAGGGAGATATGATCACCCCGTGTTACAAATGTGAAAAGTAAAGCTTGCTGAGGGTGACCCAAGGTCACACAGCTTGTTCCTGGGGCAAAGCCAGGCTGCGGGTTCAGCTCTGCAGCCCAGGTCCAGAGGGCTGCTGCTGTCTTTCTCTCCAGCGCTTGCCTTCTCTGACCCTCCTTCCCCTTTCACCTGTCTGTGGTAAGGGCACGGTGGCTGCTTCATCCACCCATGCGCCCTGCCTTCCTCCCTTCCTTCCTTCTTCCTTCTTGTGTTCTCCTCCATCCCCCACCCTCCCCTCCATCCACCCGTCCATGCATTTATCCCTCCAGGAAGTACTTCCTGGCAGGGTCCCTGCCAGCCTCCTGGATGAGGCCAAAGGAAATAGTTCCCATCTCCAGAGAGGTGAGGAAGCAAGGCAGGCCACACGGTGCGACAATGTGCCTTCAGACGCTCGGTACTTTGTAGCCGAGGTGGACTGGCGGGCAGCGCAGCTGTCAACCTTTTGGTGCTTCTTGCAGAGGGCTGCAGGGGAGCACTTGGTGGACGGGGGACACCGGAGAGCCAGAGAATGGAACCCTCCCCCAGGAAGCTCCATAGAAGAAACCGAGAACTCAGATGGGCCAAGGGGCCAGGCCAGGGCAGAAGTCTATGACAGGGGTAGGGCCGCCCTGTCCCCTTCCCCTCCCCCCTCCTCCTCCTCCTCCTCTTTCTCTTCCTTCTTCTCCTTTTCCTCTTTTTCTCCTCTTCTTCTTCTTGAGGAGCAAGAATCTGGATTATTACGTGAAATTTGCTGGCAATTCAATGAAGCAATTTCTACACACCGCGTAAACGGATTACCTTTGCACTGCGTGACTCAGCTCGGGCCACTAGATTTCAGCTCCCGCCTTGAGGTCCTCTCTGGCTTGCCCCCGGAGTTCCACCCCCTCCACCGCTGCTCCAGGCCTCCAGAGTGAGAACCAAATGCCGCCCAGGCAGACAGGTGCCCGGGCTGTGCGGTGAAGCCTCGGGGAAAGGCGGCTGCCAGCTGCAGGCTGCTTCTAGGACTCTCCCTGGAGGTTAAGAGAGAGAACTTTCTGTGGCAGGGACAGGTGCCTTTGCCTTGCAGCCCCTGCCCAAGGCTTGGTGACACTGCAGCTCTCCACACAGTTGCTTTAGGGTGAAGTGTCCCACTCCCCGCCAGCCCCAGCTTGGGCTCCCTGCTCTGTCTCTCCACAATCTCCCTGTGACTGTGGGAGGGACACCCCAAGGTCCGTGGGATGCACTTGACTCCTCATTCGCGGGATCAGTACTTCCCAACGCCTGGCTCCCCTGTGTACATCCTGAGGCCCTTTTGTGAGAAAACAATCCGTGATAACTTTATAAACAAACAGGCATCAAAACCTGTGTTGCCTTCGTTTTACCAGGTCCAGGGCTGGACTTGCTCAGGGGCGCCCCCTGGCGGTGCCTCGTCCCCCACCGGCCCCGCTGAGCTGGGGGAACCATGGTGGGGTCCCAACCTGTTCTGTCTCAGGAGTTACTCTCAGCAGAATGATTGAGCACCCTAGGGAGTTTTTGTTTCTATAGATCTATACTTACAACATTAGAAATTAAACAGAATTTTAAAATGTTTATTCCTTTAATGTAATTAGAAGCCAGTGACACATTTGAATATAAATATCATTCTATGAAAACTGGTTACATCCTCCAGCACTAAAAACATTTAGTGACAAGAGTACTGTCGTGTTACATTTCTGTTCCTTTAACAACCGGCTTCACAGACCACATGCTGGACCTTCCCGTCTCCCTCCAAGTTTAATCAGTCCCGACGTCACACATCACGTAGTCTCTGGACAGCTGTTCTGTCACCTTATGAGAGAATGAGGGCAAACAAGGCAATGACATCTGAGTGTTACTATTAAAATGAATTTTGAGCTGGGCACAGTGGCTGACACCTATCATCCCAGCACTTTGGGAGGCTGAGGTGGGCAGATTATCTGAGGTCAAGAGTTGGAGACCAACCTGACCAACATGGAGAAACCCTGTCTCTACTAAAAATTAGCTGGGCATGGTGGCATATGCCTGAAGTCCCAGCTACTCAGCAGGCTGAGGCAGGAGAATCTCTAGAACCTGGGAGGCGGAGGTTGCAGTGAGCCGAGATAGCGTCATTGCACTCCAGTCTGGTTAACAAAGAGTGAAACTTCATCTAAAAAAAAAAAAAATTTGACTTTTGGAGCCTCGGGGGTCCCCTGACTGTGCTTTGAGAACTGCTGGTTGGTGTAAGCGTAAGATCAAGGTCACTGTAGCTGGATAGACCTTTGGGGGTGCCAGAGTCCAGGGCAGGTCTGTGGAGGACATGGAGGAGGCAGGACGCTCAGACCTCAGAGCTCATTTTGCAATGGTAATTGGGGTCCCTTCCCCCACACCCCTGCCTTACACATTGAGATGTTTTAAAAGCCTCAAAGCTCTTCTTCAGCTGTTCAGTGGCTAATGAATTAACTTATTGAACGATGAAGTGCTTACCACATTCTAGAAGTTCTGGGGAAGTGCCTGGCCCCTGGGAATCATGGCCAGCTCCATGGGGTGTTGGATCTGCTGTGGGATGTCGGCCTTCGGGGGCATCCCGCTGCTCACTGGATCTCCTTTCGCTTTCTCTGCCGGGGCATTTTCAGCTTCTGGAGACTTTCAACCCGTGCCCGCCCTGCGTGTGATTCCCCCATCTGCAAAGGTTCTCTGATTTGCTCTGTGGGAGCACTTCCTTCCCTGTGGGGGGCATTTCTAGGAGCGGATGGAGCTGTCCCCATCTGTTCTGCAAGGGTGTCCCCCTTGGGATGGAGGGAGGGACCCACTGTTCTGGGGGTGTGGTTGCACCCACTCTGTGAAGCCCTGCCCACTTGCTCTGTGAGGCAGAGTGTGCTGGATTCTCTGCAGGAGGAGCCCCTGGGCCCATGACCTGGAGATGGGGAGATGGGAGGGGCTCCTACCTGTTCTCTGGGAGGAGAGAAAGACTCAGACTCTCTGGAACTTCCCCCACCTGCTCTGTTTGAATAGGGGAATGTTCTTGGTGGCATTGTGGCAGAGATGCAGGGGTGGTGCTGGCCGGCAGGGATGTAAGGGTGCTCCCGCAGCTGGGGGTGGCCCCACCACGTGTGGCCATGCTCGGAGAACATGCTGCTTATCAGGACTAAGCTACCAGTCATGGGAAAAGGACTGATCCTTCCCTCAAGCCCACAGTGTCACCAGGAGGCAGGAGGGTCGGTGTTGCAAGGGGAACACCGCTGCCCCTCACCCAACACCAAGCACAAGGCAGATGGCCTTCTCCATCTGCAGACAGTGGGCCAGTCAAGGGCTTTTGCCTCTACTGACCCATTGAAGCCTTTTGTCAGATTCAAGGTCAACAGAAATAATACCTTTCCTTGTTTTATAAGGGAGGAAAGTAAGGCTCAAAAAAAGACCTTGACTTGCTAGAACCTCACAGTTCACAGGTGATGACGACTGGAATTGAGTTTTATCTGGCGGGCAGTGGGGAGCCATTGAAGGTGTTTGAGCAGGGGAGCGACATAGCCAGACTGCTTTCTAGAACATGACTCTGGGGGTGAGCAGTTACCCAAGGGGAACAGAAAGCAGGGCAGAGGTGGCGCAGTGGGGGCGCAGCTCCCCCTGCCTCCCTGGCTGCCCTGTCCTTGCTCTGGCTGTGCACCGGACCCAGGAGACCCGCCAGTGTGGCCCTGAGTCATCTCTGGTCCCCGCAGGCTGTGTGGCCTGCGCATCCTGCAGCCCTATGCCGAGAGGATCCCTGTGGTGGCCACGGCCGGCATCACCATCAACTTCACCTCCCAGGTCTCCCTCACCGGGCCCGGTGTGCAGGTGCACTACGGCTTATACAACCAGTCAGACCGTGAGTACGGGCAGCCCGGGGAATCCCTGGAACCACCAAGGGGGTTGTGGGCAGCTGTTTATGAGGCTGAACAAAAGGAGTGTGTGTGTGTGTGTGTGCGCGTGCACTTGCACAAATTTATGCAGCTTTGTGTGCCCACATGTGCAAGGCAGCCAAATGGGTTTGCAGAAACACACTCACACATATCCACGTATGTGTTGTGTGCATGTGTCTGGATGTGTATGTCTGCTTGGACTGTGTACAGAGGTGCCCGAACACGTATCTGTGGGTGCCTGTCCATGCGTGTGTGATCGCACAGGAGCGTGCATGTCTGTGTGACTTCAAGGCTATGCATGGCCTAACGGCCCCTCCCTGCCCCCATGGTCCCTGTGGTTTTGCAGCCTGCCCTGGAGAGTTCCTCTGCTCTGTGAATGGACTCTGTGTCCCTGCCTGCGATGGGGTCAAGGACTGCCCCAACGGCCTGGATGAGAGAAACTGTGGTGAGCAGCCCACGCGCCCATCCCTCCTCTCTCCTCACCTCTGCTCTGAGCTGAGTGGAGACCCCACCCCTGAATGCAACTTCCATTATCAGCACCCAGGAAACGGGGTGCTCTCACTGTGTGGGGGTGGTGAGATGAGGCAGAGCAGGAATGCGGCCTCCCCGAGACCACCCCATGGGGCAGTGGCAGGGACAAGTGGGGAGCCAGGTCTCCTGACTTCCAGCTCAGGGCCATCACTCCCAGCCCCTGTCCCAGCCAGGCTTCCAAGAACAGAATGGGTGAGGGAGCTATCCCTCCTCCTCTGCCCTGTCAAAGTTCTAAGCATGTGGGAAGAAGGAAGTACGAAGTTAATGCAAGGGTTGGGGATAATCCTGCCACAGTGCTGGGGAAGGCACCTCATGTTTGGAAGCCAAACATCTGGCTTCAAGTTCTGGCTCAGCCTAGTGACCTCGGATGAGTCACTTTGTCTGTTTCCACCAATGAAATGGGGTATCTCCCAGGGTTGCTGTGAAACTTTGGGTGTAAAGCAGCAGAGAGAGGCCGGGCGCGGTGGCTCACGCCTGTAATCCCAGCACTTTGGGAGGCCGAGTCATGTGTCTCATCTGAGGTCAGGAGTTCAAGACTAGCCTGGCCAACATGGTGAAACCTGTCTACTAAAAATAAAAAAATTAGCCGGACGTGGTAGCACACACCTGTAGTCCCGGCTACTCAGGAGGCTGAGGCAGGAGAAAGGTTTGAGCCTGGGAACTGGAGGTTGCAGTGAGCCAAGACTGCGCCACTGCACGCCAGCCTGGGCGACAAGAGCAAGGCTGTTTCAAAAAGAAAAAAATAAATAAGCAAACAAAGATAAAAACAAAGTAGCAGAGAAAGAGATTTGTGATTGGTAATGTGCGATACAGCGCACCTTCCACAGGCATCGCTGAGCCCCGCTGGCCCCTCTGGCTTCCTCCCACCTGTCCTCCCTCTATGTCTCCACAGTTTGCAGAGCCACATTCCAGTGCCAAGAGGACAGCACATGCATCTCACTGCCCAAGGTCTGTGACGGGCAGCCTGACTGTCTCAACAGCAGCGATGAGGAGCAGTGCCAGGAAGGTACGGCAGGCCTGGCTGGGTGTGTGGAGGGACACCAAAGACAGTCTAGGCCTGCTGTGTGCTTCAGCAAAGAGCTCTGGCTTCCCATCATCCCAACACCTACCAACCCCTCTGTACCTACACATGTATGTCCATCCATCCATCCATCCATCCATCTTCTGGTCTCAAATCACCTGTCTGTCCATTGATTCATACAGCTACCCATTTATCCATGCATCTACTGGCCTGTGCAAGCATCAATCTCCCTATCATCAAACTGTCAATCCATCCACTTATTGATTTGCCTATCTGCCTGTGTGGCTACTGTTCCATCCATCCGCCCATCCATCTGCCCACCCACCCATCCATCCATCCTCCCATCCACCCGTCCATCATCCATCGATCCACCCGTCCATCCATCCATCCATCCACCCATCCACCCACCCATCCATCCACCCACTGATATCCCTAGCCCCCTGTTTGTCTACTAGTCCTTATGTCCACTCATTTGTCCAACCTTCTACCTGTTTGTCAGTTTCCCTAATGGACCACCACTCCACCCATTGGCTTGTCTGCCCAATCTTCTCTCTGGGTCTATTTATCCATCCATCCATCTACCCATCCAACTGGCCAACCAACCAACACTTCCAGAATACCCAGCAATAGGCCAGGTGCAGTGAGGAAGCAGGAATAAAACACCACAGATGCAGCCCCTGCCTTCCAAGGTTTATCTGTTAGTAGGAGGGATATGCTGGGTGACTTTCCTGCAATGTGGGAAGACTGGGGGGCAGGGAGGAGGTCCGACATGAAGAGCTTCCTAGAGAAAGTAGGTGTTTGGTCCTTGATGAGAGCTAAAACTTAAATAAGCAGGCAGAGGGGAGAAAGGCAAAGACCAGGTGGTGGAGCGTAAAGTTCTTTACAGTGAAGAGCAGGGAGGAAAAGGTGGGCAACCGGGCAGAGCCTGGGGGACTGCCAGGCTAGGTGGGGACGTGGTCTGAAAGTGGAGGCACAGTTCTGCCTTGAAGTTCCACACCGGAGGCGGGGGCATGACCTTGCGGTCAGGAGCTCCAGTCTGAGAGGGAGACACTGCCTTGCACTCAGCAGACAAGTCTGAGTGAGACTGGGGGGGATGGACATGGCCTGCTTTTAGGACCCCCTAAAGGAGACTCAGAAAAAGGCTCTCCAGTCCTCTCCTGGCTCCATCGCTCCTGCACCCCACTTTGGAAGGCTCCCTTGGGGCTCAGAGACCCACCTTCTGTGCCCTGTCCTCATCCCCTCTGTCCCAGGGGTGCCCTGTGGGACATTCACCTTCCAGTGTGAAGACCGGAGCTGCGTGAAGAAGCCCAACCCACAGTGTGACGGACAGCCCGACTGCAGGGACGGCTCAGACGAGCAGCACTGTGGTGAGCCCTACCCGGCTGCCCGGGGCCCTGGAGCTCGGGAGGGAGGGGGCTGCCCAGAGCAGGTAGCCGGAGGGAAATCTCACTGTTGTCCCCTGGTCTCTCTATCCCATCCTCTGCCCCCTCACCTGGGTCCTGATGGTCTCTCCCCCTCCCCGGTTCTCCTGTTCTCGGTCTCTCCATCTCTTTCCTTTGCCCTTCTCTGTCTGCTTCTCACTGGCCTCTCCCCTTCCCCTCCTCCTCTGTCCACCCCACCACCTGCCCGCATCCCCAGACTGTGGCCTCCAGGGCCCCTCCAGCCGCATTGTTGGTGGGGCTGTGTCCTCCGAGGGTGAGTGGCCGTGGCAGGCCAGCCTCCAGGTTCGGGGTCGACACATCTGTGGGGGGGGCCCTCATCGCTGACCGCTGGGTGATAACAGCTGCCCACTGCTTCCAGGAGGACAGGTGAGGGGGAGGGGACCCAGGCTGTAAGATACAAGGGCAGGGAAGGCGGGGCGGGAGGCGCACCGTGTCTGAGCTGTTTGCAGAGAGAGGGAAGGGTGGTGGAGCCCCCAGACAGGCTACTGCGACATGGGTTCTAGTCCTGGCGCCACCAGGACCCACTGGGGCCCTGGACACGTTCCACCTCTCTGCCATCTACTTTTGGTATCTTGCTTTAAGTTGGGTCAGTGATTCATTCATCCATTCACCTCATTCACTCACTCAGCAATACTGGTTGTGCTCCTACTATGTGCCAGGGGCTGTGCTAGACTCTGGGGATGCAGTAAAGGACAAACTGCCCGATCTGGTCATAAGCTATGACACTCTCCCAGGTGTGACACGGGGTGGCGGGTGGGGCTGCGGAGCCCCCAAGGGATGTCTCATCAGGCCCCATGGCCATCTTTCCCATGTGCTTGGAGGGCTGAAGCCTCCCCCAATCCACCCCCAGACAGACCCCGCCCCCAGGCCCTGCACAGGGAGCCGGCCCCCTTTTGTATCCTCTCTGGGGTGCAGGGTGCTCTGACCACTGACCACCCAGCTCTCTTTAGCCCCATCCCAGGCTCCCCCCCCACCCCGCCGGCCTCTGGTGGAGAGACCCGAAGGCTGCCCACCTGCCACCCAGGCAGCTGGCTGGCTCAGGCCAATTCCTCCATGCTCGATTCACACCCCCTCCCCGCCAGGACCCACCAGCCTCAGGGAATTCAGAGCAGCCTGGGTCTGTAAAGCGCACAGGAATATGTGTCCCGGGCC